CAAATTTGTTCAAAAGTTATTAGCGTTCTCAGAAATTAATTATAACTTTTGACCAACAGGTGGCGCTGTCTCAAAATCTTTTGAGTACCTTCAGGGCATGCTGCTTATGGCACACACTGAGTTTTGTAATATTACACCAATGCATTTGTTTAGTATAGCATTTTATTTCACAAAACTCTATTGAAGTCAATGGGAATTTCACGTTTTGTTCTATTATAGCGCCACCAAGAGGCTCAGTCCCACAATTTTTTTTAAGTGTCCTCAGAGTGACCCCATACATATGTGTGTCAATTTTGGTGCAAATATCTCAATTCACTTCCGAGTTATAAACATTTATATGAAAAAACACGTAAAAAATGACTGACACATGACTTTGTTTGAATTTTACTACCCCTTACTATCAATATTTTCGCATTTGGGCATTTGCATATAGTTAACAAGCTATGATTCCGTGTTTCTGGCGGTGGTTTCGTCTCGATCGGAACAGCGGTTTTGAAGATATCGCCAAGTGTTTTTTTCGTGCTAAATCGCTACGCTACACCAACCGTAAGACGAAACCCAGCATGATTAGTATCGTTGGACTCGGCAACGATTCAGGAACTCAAAAAGATGACTCCCGTGAAAATAAGTGTACCACACCCAAAGTTATAAGCGTTTGAAAAAAAAAATTCACCACTAGGTGGCGCTGTTTCGAAACTTCTCAGGCTCCTTCAGGGCATCGTACTGATGACCCATACCGAGTTTCGTAACAATTCGTTCATGCGTTCAAAAAATACAGCATTTTAGCACATAATTCAAAATGGCCGACAGCCAAAATGGCCGATCTGGGAAAATTGGATATCGGTCGACTCGGCATGACGCCCTGAATCTAACGAGACCAAGTTTTTGATTTTTGGAGAAACCGTTCAGAAGTTATGAGCGAAAATAGCCATTTTTCATATCTCCGGACCACTAGGTGGCGCTGCGCCGAAACGCTGCATGTAGCCTCAGGTCATGCTTGTGATTACATGTACCAAGTTTGGTCTGAATAGGATGAAGCGTTGCGGAGATAAAGCCTTACGTCTGTTTTCGCAAGCGTTACGTAAAATTAGTTTGTGCGTTTATCGAAAACGGTTATTCGAATTATCTTGAATTCCATAACTTTTTGTCAGCACTGCCTGGAGATGATCCGGTGCGATTTTGGTGAAAATCGGACAAACGGTCTAGGACGAGTTCGCAAAAGTACGTTTTTTAGAAAATTCAAAATGGCGGCCATGTTTTTATGACGGAAAATGACGTCATAGGGTGGGATCGAATCGGCATGAGCTCAGGAATAAGAGGAAAAAAGAATTTTGTTGATAGGTCTTACGGTTCAAAAGTTATTAGCATAATAAAAGTGAAACTTTGGACAGTTGGTGGCGCTAGAGGGAATGAGTTAGAGACACCAAAATTAGTGTATTTAAAGTTGGGACTGTCCTCTATCAGAATGTCAAACCAAAACAACTTTCCCGCAAACCGGTCTATGGGCTGCCATAGACGCCCAGTCGGAAGAAGAATAATAATAATAAGAACCAGCACGGATACAATAGGTGCCTCCGCACCTTCGGTGCTTGGCCCCTAATAATAGGAACCGGCACAGATACAATAGGTGCCTCCGCACCTTCGGTGCTTGGCCCCTAATAATAAGAACCGGCACAGATACAATAGGTGCCTCCGCACCTTCGGTGCTTGGCCCCTAAAAAACAACTGTTGACTTCTTTAGTTCATTGTAACAAAATGAGCGTGATTTTAACTGTAAAATATTGTAAAATGTACAAGTAAAAAGGCAAATCAAAATTTGCAGTGTAAAAACTGTAAACTGACATTCCCAGAATCCTGTGTGTGACGCATCACATTTAAAAGTATTTAATTTAAATAATTATGTTTCTTAGTTTATCAAATCATCTGTTGTTTAGAATGTTATTGCATTATTTTAATGTCAGGTGTGTTACTAGAGTTTTTGTGTTTGCTTAAATGACTCTATGCACCTTCTGTATTACAGTTTTATACTGTAAAATGTTCTGTAAATATGTTTACATTTTACTGGTTTTTTTTACAGATTGGAATTTGTTTTTAACAGGGTTTTTACAAAAAAGTGTTGCTCAAAACCTGGTCGAGAATATTTGTGTACGCTTGAAAGAACTTATTATACCTAAAAATGAAAACATAAAAATACAAATTTGAATAAAATATGGTCATTTGTGAGTCATTACCCGTCATTACGTCTATTTGAGCGTAATTGGTTCTTTGATGTCTCATGACCAATCATCACTCATGTCAAACTTGATGCAAGTCACCAAATTTGATTTGAGAGTTACTCTAACATCCAAAACTTTGGGGTCGAAATGAATACTTTTATTCAGTGAGGTCATGTTAAATTGATCAAAAATGTGCAGTAAATACATTTATAATGTTGTAAACAATTTGTAGAAATCAAAGAATCCTAAAAAAAAAGTGTTTTTATTGCAGCATGAAAATCATCAATTTTGCAAATTTTCCATTTAGTCCCATACAAGGTTGGAGCGACATGAGAGTAATGATCTTTTTAATAGTTTTAGTGAAGTGTGAACCAAAGACGCATACTTTAGGCTTGGTGCCTGGAGGCAACAGAGCCTTGAGCCAAGGTCTTCACTGTTGGGTCACCTACATTCAGTGGAAAAATTTAGACAGCCTAATGTGTTTCAGTTTGGCTGAGGGTTAATTACTGAACCTACTGAACATAATGAAACTGTGAAACAAAATCTCTTATTTTGTTGGATCTTTTATCAGACTTCTCAAATGACTTGGATTAAGGATTCATTCTTTTGTCTCCCTTTGTAGTACGCAAACAATATGAAAAAAAAAACAAAAAAAACAAGCGATGAGTCAGAGTGTAGCTGCAAATGAAATAAAGCTGTGATATGATGTGAGTCTCCTTGGTGCGAGGATCTTTCTTCTTGGCAAAAGGCTGTGCTGTTTTTAAGTCGTCTTGCATCATGAGAACTACGATCTTGTGACTATTATATTCATTAAATAGGGGGGAAAAAGATTTGTGGCACATCATAATTTCTAGCATTATCAAGGCTAAATGTTGGTATTTTCAATGCTAGTCAATGCATTATTTAAAGTGTTCAAAGACACATTCACAGAGAGAGTGAATTGCCTGTGAAATAAAAACGGAAACAATGACCTCCCCTTTTGAAACCACACACTGCTTCTGGTTTGTCAATAGCATTAAACATGTATGGACTTAAAGTGAGGATATACTATAAATAAGCAGGGAATGTAGTTTTGTATGAGCACTGTACCTCTGAAATGTGCTTTGATGTACTTGACTCTGAGGACAATCAACATCTGTGACATCGATTGTCCTCTTGTCTATTATGAGGTGAGGCAGGATAGCAAATTCAAAGCCCACTGCTGTCAACAAAACACACAGCAGTGATGCTTTCAGTCCATTTACATTACTGTATGTTAGTGCTTTTGTGTCTAAGAGCAACAACCCTGCATCTATTTCTGTCTCCGGGTCAGGAATACCTCAGATGTTAGCTGGTATAGTATGAATCCTGATAGTATGCAGCCTAATCCATGACAGAGAGGTTCTTGAAAAGATGGATTGCCATAAAGCTGGCTGGGGACTGTACCGCCTGTCTGACTGAACGGGGGGATGTGCACTTAAAGTAAAACACACTGGAGAGTGTGTGTGTATATATATATATATACAGTATATACCCTTTTGAAAAAAAACTTACACCAAATTGTATTTAAAATACATTTATTTCATACTAAGTACAAATCCATTAACATACTGACATATCGCTTTAGACTAACTGATATAAATATCGTCAACTTCCTAAAATAATTGCCCAAGTCATTTTCATTTTCAAATGACTTAGGCAAATTTAGGAAGGTGACGATATTATAATTAAACTTTATTTGGTGTACTTTTTTATTGCACGATGCACATTTCGAAATGTTAAGCCTAGTGTGTTTTAATATCACTGTTAGTAAGGACTGTAGGATCACTCTATAATATCAGTCTGTATGCAAGATATTTAAAGTGTACCTTACAGTAAGTATACTTGTAATAGTTTTACTTTAGCACAGTCAAATATACACAAGTATATCTTTATTTGACCTCAGCACTATTTATGGATAACTAAAGTGCATTAAGTACAAAATTAGTTGTTCCAATTTAGCAGACTTTAAGTAAACCAATTTAGTCTACCAAAAGTACAATTGCAGGATATTTATATTAAGTACATATATAAATGTATTTGTAGTATACTTAGCATATAATAATTATGTTTCAAATACATTTTGCAAATTTATTTTTCACTAGGGTTAGTATTTTGCTGTTTTCAGTTCGTTTGGTCTTGTGTGTTTCTGTAATGCATGGAAGCGAGTGTTGCATCACAACACCATCTGCTGGTGGCCAGGATCATGTCAGGAGTCAACATTTTCCCCACACAATGTGCATTGGCAGATTTTTTCATGTAGGATAAGGCAAAAAAAGTAATTTATTAAAATTGTAACATCTGTTTTAGTCACTGCTGACTGTTTTTCATGTATTTTTTTATGGTATTTGATTGCTTTCAAATGTTGACTGAGGTGAAATGGGTCCACTTTAGAAACAAATCATTAAAAATGTATTTAATTAAAAAACGAATTAATTCTGTTTTATTCTACATGGGAATGGTCACCCCCTTATGATGGCTGGCATACTGAAATCATATGACTTCAGGATAACTACTGAAGTTATCAGTAGTTTTTCGGATACAGTATAAATACATTACATTATAGGTCATGGTAAACAAACTTTTTGATTTCTATGGAAATATTATAATTGTTATATTCTCTCCCTGTTTTTCAACTAAATCCAACAAAAAAACATTTGTGATGCCAGGACAGTAGTTTGGTATTCAGACCACCAGCTGTACTATGTGGAGAGCAAAGGTGCAAGAAATTGAGTTTTTAACTAAAATTGTCTTTTGTCCTTTCAGAGTTGACAAGACATTTTCCAGAGCCAGAAGCTTGTGGTAAGTGCTGTCTTTTTCATTTAACGTAGACATAGCCTTTTCAGCCGTTCCAGAAACCACAAGCTTTTATGCTGTTTTGCTCAGGGGTATCAGCCTGGAAACAGTTACAGAGGAAAGATAATTTCTGTCTACAGTAAGTGACATGGAAGGAGACCATCCAAAGCCCTTTAGTGTAGCTGCTTTTTTCCCTTATAATACCATTTACATTTCATTTTTATTGCCTGTTGAAATTACCCCCTCTGGTTACTGTTTGCAGGGTTGTGCTCCATTCAGAATTGAATTTAGAAAAAGCATTTTAAATTTTAATTCAATTTCAGAGTTTAAGTTAATTTAGTGAAACATGATACAGAATTGCTTTAAAATTATCATTCAAAAGGATTCTTCTTAACATTTTTCAAAGAAATTCAAAAAGTTTGAATGGACGGACGGACGGACATTGATTGAGAGATGGATAAGATACACAGAAAGAAGGATAGATGATAGACAGACAGACAAATTGATATAGACAGATAGATACAGTAGATAAAATCTAACTCCAACTGATGAGAAAAAAGTCAGTTCTAAAATGCTAACCTGTGTACGGTTGGTTTCTAATCTGTATCTTAAATGTCAAGACATGTAGGGTTGATTGACTCTGCTCAGGGAATGGCAAAGCTGTACAGATGGAGGACAGACAGATGAAGTGTTTTTGATGCATGCAGTGGTTTTGGGATGAAAAGGTCCGGAGCAAAGAGGACATGCTGCAGTCTTGTTGCCACAGCGACAGCTCTGCAGTGTTGGCAGGACCGTCGCTGAGGCACACATGCGGCACTCTCACGCCCCTGTCTGTGTGAGTGAGAGTGTGTGCTGGCAGGCCGTGTGTAAAGGATGCCAGGTGCAGATGGACAGCAGCCTGAAGGTCAGTCCTAAAAAACCCATAGGATTAACCAGATTCCCGGCTCTGATGGCATCCGCCCCTCCCCGTGTAACCTCAGGACCGGCCTGCATCAGTCTACGCCTCACTGTCAAACAGCTTGCGGGACGAGAGACCTAACGCGTCCATCCTTCTTCACCGTTTTCTTCTGAAGGCACAGAGCAGTTGAGGACAACTTGAGGATAGATATTCAGACTTATGACACTGACGTTTGATGGCAATCGCTGTGTTTTACATCATTCATCATTGGCTTTGTGTTGGGATTTGAAAGTCAGTCTGTTGCTGGAACTGCGGTTTGTTTTATTAACTTTTTGGAGTTTGTGCGAACAGGATGGGAAACTATCTATCATCAGCCAATATGTGCATTTAAGTAAGGCAGATCTAGGCAGAAAATGTCTATCTTTTTTTATTCTAACTAATTCATTGTACATACTGTTAAAATAGGTAGTAATTCATCAAAAAGATATGCAAATGATAACATTTTTTGAGTCTTGGTGGAGGAAGACATTTAAAGGAAGAAGACTCATTAGCTCTCATAAGACAGGATCGGACTATTCTGTGATCCAGAAATAGGCCATAATCCATATATAGGCCCTTTGCAAGTGGTTGCTTGAGACCTTCAGTAAGGAAGACTGATCTCAATTAGCCTGACAGATCCACAATGCCTTGCTCTCCCTTTCGAATCAGAAGGCTGAAGAAGTTCTGGTGAGTGTAAATTCGAAATGGTTTTTCAATGACCGATCTGAATATGAAAAGAATGTAAATTTTTGCAGCGAGTGTTTGTTTAATGGTCATTAAGTATGGATTGTGCTCTTGGACGTGGCATACATTAGCATGAATGGATTTAGAATGGTTTGCTTAATGAAGACACCTTGCTTTGCGTCACAAAGCAATCTGTGCGTAGATCCAGTAGGAATGCTTCAATATTCAGCGATGATGCTGCATCAGAGTAATGGGGCTGCCTACTGTGTGTCAATCAAGAGACTTTTATCTGTTGATAAGGTATCTCCCTGTCTCTTTCACTTGCACTCTCACATTCAGACTATTTCGCGCACTCTTTGTAATATATGAGCAATCTAGGTCACTGTCATTATGTGCATAACTGCATTAGCTTTAGGTCTTGGGGTAGCCGGCATGAAATTGCGTGAGGAGCATAGTATTCCTTCCTGTGTTGATGCATTTCAAATTGAAATGAAGTTTATATTATTGAAGACATATTGAAGGTATCCTCTCTTTAAAAAATAGCCTGTTGCCTTGTTTGTCACAGCTGTGAACTTTGATACTTGCTAGTTGCTGGTCTGTTGCATGTAGCATTAGGGATATTAGTGCATTAGGCCTGTCTAAAAAGACAGCTGACATACACTGCATATGTCAGAAGAGACTTTTTAGCAAATATTGAGCCATCATTTTTATTTTAAGCTGATTATTTGGGTGCATGTTAAATATAGCTGTTGTAGAGAGCATCTGATTGGAAGAAAATCTGAGTAGTGCAGGGTGAGTCATCAGTATTTTGGGTTTGTTTTTCCAGAAGAAAAAGAAGAAAAATAACAGTGATTTATAAGACTCTTAACAGGTTTTGTCAACTAAAACTATTGCAAATCATATTCATTTTAAAGTAAATTAAATAAAATATAAATATTAGATTAGATAAAATTACATTTAAAATGAAAACTTTAAAATAAGTTGAAATTAAAGTATTAAAATGATTAAAAGCTAGAATTAGCTTTAATCACTTAATAGCACAGTTAATTGTGACTTTATCTCACAATTCGTACTTTTTTTTTCTCTGAGTGTTATTGAATTTACTTTTTTTCTCTGAGTGATATTGAATTGTGTGAGATAAAGTTGCAATTGCAAGTTATAAAGTCAGAATTTTGAGATATAAACTAACAATTCTGAGAAAAAAAAAGTCAGTCTTTTTTTCCTCAGAATTGGACTTTATAACTCACATTTGCAAGTTTATATCTCACAACTCCAGCAAAACAAGTCAGAATATACAGTGTATATATAAAGTTGCAATTGCGTGTTTATAAAGTCAGAACTGCGAGATTTAGACTTGCGATCGTGATATAAAAAGTTTCAATGAACTTTTAAAATGTTTTATTCTGTGGAGGAAACTAGCTTCCATATACAGTACATAACAAAATGACTTGTTATTAAGATAAAAACTGAAAATATAAATATACTAGTATAGTAATATACTATAAAATAGTATAATATTGTATAAATAATGCTTAATTATAACACTGTAACTTAAAATAAATTTATTTAGGCTGTAAATTGTCATTAAAATGTTATTTTCAAATAAATGAATTAAAGGGATAGATAACTGAATACTCCAGCTGCATGTTTTGCAACTTTGTACCATATTGTCTTCCCCTTCTCAACAGCATCCCGGTCTAATACCAGACTAAATCAGGAAGCACTTAGAGAACAATACGGCTCTCATATTTCAGGCTGCTGGTCCCACACTATATCTAACCCCATCTCAGGTCAGCTAAACCCATTCAAGGTCCAGAGAAACTCTCCTCTCTTCCAGTAATGGAAATGATACTTGCGCTGTATATATTTCCAATTAACTCAGTGGACTTTTGCTACATGCTTTTATTAATCTCTGAATGACCTACGGCTATGAGAAGACGGCTGACATTCTGAGGGGATGTTTGAAAGCAATCAAGTGTCTTTCCTGTTCCCCCTTTTTTACTTCCCTAACATCAAAGATACATCCCTGGCTTTGATAAAGTGCAGAATATGTCATGTCAGTACGGAGTGACGGCTGTTCTTTTCACTCTTCTTTCATCACAAAGTGTAGGTGTCACATTGAGGAGAGATGGTTTCCTCAGACTTTCCACTTTTAAGTCGTAGTCAATCTTTTTTATTTCACGTTATATTATTGAGCACATTTGTCTAACCGATGTAGAGCTGACTTCTGTCTGGCATTTTGAAATTTAACAGAGATGTATGAGGACTATTTTACAATAATCCAGTGCACACATTGTTCCCATCTCCCAGACAGCCCTCTGGGAAACAGGTTGTGCAGATTATTTGTTTTTGCTTACAGTATATTAAAGGAGTAGTTCACTTATAAAAATCTTTTGCTGGTAATTTACTCACCCCCGTGTCATCCAAGATGTCCATGTCTTTCTTTCTTCAGTCGAAAAGAAATGAAGGTTTTTGATGAAAACATTCCAGGATTTTTCTCCATATAATGCACTTTACTGGTAACCAAACAGTTCAAGGTCCAAAATACAGTTTCAGTGCAAACTGCAAACTGTTCAAAGACGATGAATAAGGGTCTTATCAAGCGAAACGATCGCTCATTAAAAAAAAATATAAATATTTTTCTGACTCCGACTCTCATAGTTTTAGAGCAAAGAAATGGGGTAAGTATAGGACTATATTTGTTGAGTTTTTCACAGTTTGCATGCAGAAGAACAGCAGCTTACTGGTGAGTCTGCATGATCTCTTACACTCCAGTATCTGTGTGTGTATTTATGTGAATCTATTGGCTACAGTTTCAAGGAGAAGGGAGGAGAGAGCTGTCAAACTTAATCAGCCCAGACTGTCTCTGTGTGTCTCTTACATGCAACTGTCTGACTAAATACAGCAGCAATGTGACAAGCTAGTCCTTGATTCGCTGAGACAACATTTATAAATGGAAACTGGTCGACAAAAAGTGTATTAAAAACAACCTGACGTTTCCATGGCAGGTCAAGATATGCAGAAATATGCACTCTGGTATTAAAAAGCTTTTTTTTGGTGATGAATACACCTTGATAATCCTACAGTATCGTTTATTAATCACATATTCCGTTTAGGCAATTAATATGTTCTTGTAAACATCTGCAAGTTTAATACATATCTCTGTTATGCATATGAGAATCTGTGTATAATGACTGTTATCAGAATGTTAGAGAGGTTCTTTAAAGAGAAGATAAGTCATCACTCTTCCTTTTGTGGTATAGTTGACGGTTTTCTAAGTAGCAAGGGAGCTTTAAAGTTAAAGAAGGGGACACATGAATACTCACACGTGCCATAAAAATGTGATTGTGCAATATTGTCACAGTTTGAGGCAGAAGATACATTG